AGTAATCAGGTAAAAGATATAAAGAAATAAAAGACCCCATTACAACAAAAACAAAACCAAAAAAATGTCTCGGAATACAATTAACAAGAAATATGTGCAATCTCTATGAAGAAAAAAAAGAAGCACAAAAAGCAAGTGAAAGATAGGCCATGTTCTTGGAAATGTAGACTCAACATATAAAGCTGTCAATGCTTCCTAAGTTAGTAAATTTAATAAAATTTCAATAAAAATATCAACTGGTATTTTTAAAACTCTCAGAGAGAAAAGAATTAAAAAATAAAATAAAATAAACCATCAACAAAACAACAAGAAAACCTACTGCATGGGAGAACATATTTGCCAATGGTATCTCTGATAAGGGTTTAATCTCCAACATATACAGGGAACATACAACTTAACAAAAGGAAGACAAACAACCCAATCAAAAAATGGGCAACAGAGCTAAATAGATACTTTTCGAAAGAAGACATAAGGAAGGCCAAGAGACATATGAAAACATCAAAGTCACTAATCATCTGAGACATGCAAATCAAAATGACAGTGCGGTACCATTTCACACCTGTCAGAATGGCTATCAACAAATCAATAAACGACAAGTGTTGGAGAGGATGCAGAGTAAAAGAAATCCTTGTGCACTGCTGGTGGGAATGCAGACTGGTGCAGCCACTGTGGAGAACAGTATGGAGTTTCCTCACAAAACTAAAAATGGAACTTCCATTTGACCCAGTGATCCCACTTTTAGGAATATATCCCAAGAAACTAGAAATAGCAATCAGAAAGGATATATGCACCCCTATGTTCATAGCAGCACAATTTATAATAGCTAAGATTTGGACTCAGCCTAAGTGCCCATCAGCAGATGAGTGGATTAAAAAACTTTGGCACAACTATACAATAGAATACAATGTTGCTGTAAAAAGGAAGGAACTCCTACCATTTGCAACAGCATGGATGGAGCTGGAGAGCATTATGCTAAGTGAAATAAGTCAATCAGAAAAAGATAAATATCACATGATCTCACTCATTTGTGGATTATAATGAACAACATAAACCGATGAACAAAAACAGATCTAGAGACAGAGAAACATTGATCAGATGCTCAAACCTCAGGGGTAAGGTAGGGGAGGGTGAGGGTAAGGGGAGAGATCAACCAAAGGGCTTGCATGCATGCATATAAGCATAAGCGATGGATGCAGACAACAGGGGGTGAGGGTGAGGGCAGGACTGGGGGGTGGGGAGACAATGGGGGAACAAGGACACATTTTTAATACCTTAATCAATAAAGAAAAAAATTCAAAAATAAAAAAGAACAGCAGTGAGGTGTGAGACAACTTTAAATGGTCTGATATATGTACAATTGGAGACCATAAAGCATAGAAAGGCATGGGGTTAGGGGCAGAAAACATGTTTTAAGAAATAATCACTGAAAAAATCCTCAACTTGATGAAAACTATCAACCCATGTAGGTCCCAGTAGTTCAAGAAATCACAAGCACGAGACACATGAGAAATTATTACTAAGGCACACCATAATTGAACGACAAAACCTGCAATAAAGAGAAAGATCTTAAAAGCAGTGAGTAAATGGTCTGCTAGATGATTCTATGTCTCTGGATGTATTTTTGTTCATCAGTTTATTTTGGTCATTATATTCCACAAGTGATACTTTCAACAATAAAGAATTTTTTAAAAAGCAGCGAGTAAAAAAGACACATTCTACACAGAAAAACAAAGATGAGATAACTGCAGACTTACAGTGGAGCAACACCTTTAAAGTGTTGAACAAACAAACAAACAAAACAAAACCCAACCAAACCTGTCACAATAGAATTCTAAACCCAGCAAAAATTCTTTCAAGAGCAAAAGTTAAGTAGAATATATCACACATATATTCCTGAAAGAATTCCTCACCAGCAGGGCAGCACTATAAGAAATGACCAAGATTTTCTTCAGGCAGAAGGAAAAGAATACTAGGTAGAAATCTAGATTTACATAAAGAAGTGAAAAGCACTAAAAATGGTAACTATATGGGTAAATATATAAGATTATTTTGTATGTAAATCTTTTAAAAATATGAGATGAATTTTTACACAAAAATAAAAACAATGTAATGTGGAGTTTATGACATATGTATAAGTAAAAAAGATAATAGTATAAAAAGCTAGGAGGGGAGAGGGGAAAGTAGACTATTTTAAGGTTCTTATAGATATATGTGTGAAGTGGTATATCACTTGAAGGTAGATTGTGAGAAGTTTACAAACCCTAAATAAAAAATGAAAAAAAAGAATTATAGCTAATAAACCAACAAAGGATCTAATGGAATCATAAAAATGCTAGGAGAGTCCAGAAAAAAAGTCAGAAAATGAAGAAAAAGGTAACAAAGAATACATGGGACAAACAGCTATGTAGTAGATTTAAATTTACATATATCAACAATCACACTGAATGTAAATGGTCTAAATATTCCAATGGAAAGAAATTATCAGATTGGATTAAAAAGACAATTTTAAATATAAAAACCAACTAGGTTAAAATTAAAAGGGTGAAAAAAACATACCATGTTCACACTAATATAAGGAAATCTACAGTGGCCATGTTAATATCAAAGTGGATATCAGAGAAAAGAATACTAGTAGAGGCAAAGGAGGCTACTTCATAATAATCAAGGAGTCAGTAGAGGACATAACAACACTAAACATTTATACACCTAACAAAAATAGGAAAATCCACAATTATAGTGAGTTGCACAAGTTGTAAGACACAAGATTAATATACACAAATCAATTGTATTTCTATATACTGACAATGAACAATTGTAAACTAAAGTTAAAAATTTTGAACAGTATAGAAAATATGAAATACTTCGGGATAAGTCTGACACAATATTTGTAAGTCTGTAGACTGAAAACTACAAACATTGCTGAAAGAAATTAAGATATAAATAAATGGAGAGATATACTTATTCATGTGTCAAATGACTTTGTATCATTAAAGCTGTCAATTATAATTGAATTCATCGATAGGTCCACACCCTCTCAACCCAAACTCCAGCAGGCTTTTATTGTGGGAAAGTACCAGCTGATTCTAAAATTTAGATGGAAATACAAAAAAGACCTAGAGTAATAGTCGAAACAATTTTGAAAAAAACAATGTTGCCTGATTTCAAGACTTACACAGCTACAGTGATTAAGACAGTGTGGTATTGGCATAAAGACAGACAAACAGATCAACAGCACAGATAAAGAGAGTTCTGAAATAAACCCACACATATATGGAAAAATGATTTTTTTTATAAAGGTGCAAAGGCAATTCAGAAGGGGAATAAAATGACAAAACTTCTAGAAGAAAACATGAGAAAATCTTTGTGATCTTGGGTTAGTCAAAGATTTTTAAAATATGACACTAAAAGCACAACCCATAAAAGAACAAATTGATAATTGGGACTTCATCATAATTAAAAACTTCTGTTCTTCAAAAGACATCATTAAGAGAATGAAAAGACAAGCTACAGACTGGAATAAAATATTTGCAAAACAGGTACCTTAGGACTCATATCCATAATATATAAAGAACACTCAATAAGGAAACCAAATTTTAAAATTGGCAAAAGATTTGAACAAACACTTCAACAAAGAATATATAGATGGCAAATAAGCACATGAGAAAATGGCCAACATCATTAGTCACAGGAAATGCAAATTAAAACAAGGAGATGCCATTTCATAGCTACTGAGATGGCTAGAATTAGAGACTGAGCTAGCAGATGTTGCTGAGGGCATGGGAGAATGGGCACTCCCACATGTGAGGGGAAAGGAGGATGGTACAACCACTGTAGGAAACAGGTGAGAAGTTTCTTAAAAAGTTAAACATACTCCTATCAAATGACCCAGCCATTTCACTCCTACATATCTGCCCACAAGAAATGGAATATTCATAGCCGTTTTATTTGTAGACTCTGAAGGATGAGCCTGCTCTGACAACACCTCCTCACTGTGGTCTGGGGGCCCAGCTCCTCAGGGTGCTGGGCATCATGTGAGGCAGGTGGCCTGCCTGGCACAGGGTCATCCCATCTGGGCACAGCCCCCTGTTCTGACTCCTACTGGGTTTACTGCGTGGAGCCCCCTCAGCCCTCCCCAAATTGCTCCTGCTGCCAACCTCAGAGCTCCTATCTCCATGGTGGACTGGCATATCTCAACCCCAACCTGTCCCAGACCTTCCCCCACCTTCCCGAGCCTCTCCAGAGCTTAGATTGAGAGCCTTCTGCCCACCAAGGCCCTTTCTTTCACAGCCCACATCTTATGTCAGGAATCCTGTTGATCCTTCCTTCAAAATTCCCCCAGAACCCACTCTCCCAGTCCTGGCCCCATCTTTCAGCAGTGCCTGCAGCCTCCAGAGCCTGTGCCCCCTGTCATCGTGTTACCTGCACCAGAGCTCAGGTGCCCAATCCTGGCTCCAGCCGCCCCTCCACCTGCTATTCTCAGTCCAGGCCCAACTGGACTGAAGCTTCTTGGGCCCACCTTGCCACACATTTAACCTTGCACTTCTGACGCCCTCCTCATCATTGGGTCTTTCTCATCACAGGCTTCTATTGCTTTCTAAGACACTTACTTTGTCTACTGGCCACCTGCTGCCCTCATGCTGATGAGGATGCTCAGAGGAAGACCTGTGTCCACCACATCCCTGCCGCCTCTCAGGCCCCAAGTGGTGGCTGGTACGTGGCCAATATGTCCTGTGGGTGAGTGAACCGCATGGCCTTAAACCGTCCAGTGTGCAATGACCAGGCGCTGCTATGCTGTGCTCCCAACCTCAACCAGGCGACTCCTAGGTGGTGATGGGAGTGTGTCCCGGTGGCCTAGGCCAGTGGTCAGCAAACTGAAGCTCGCGAAGCACATGCAGCTCTTTGGCCCCTTGAGTGTGGCTCTTCCACAAAATACCGACTTCTGTGCATGGGCCACAAAGTTTCAATCACACTGTACATGCGTGCCCGCACATGGTATTTTGTGGAAGAGCCACACTCAAGGGGCCAAAGAGCCGCATGTGGCTCGCGAGCCGCAGTTTGCTGACCACTGGCCTAGGCATACAGGTGAGCACCTGAGGTCTGGTGGGAGTTTGGGCAGACAGAAAAGGAGTTCCTGCTGAGAGTCAGGTGTGGGGATAGACCATCCCAGCCACTGCACGCTTGATGGATTCTGGGAGAGATGTCTCTGCCTGCCCATGAGTCTCCCTCTACAGGGGCCTGTGTCCCAACCAGGGCTTTAGCGTCTCAAAGGGGCCATGGGCTCATTGAGGTGAGCACAAGTGAGCAAGCAGACAGTTTTGTGAAAAAGTGAGATGCACATGCTGGGAAGTGGCTGGGGTCACATATGTGGCCTGACTTCCCACGCCCACGGAGGCAGTGGGAGAGGCTGTTTCCACAAGTTATAAACTGTACTTTGTAGCCAGGGCAAGAATGGAGTTTTCATTATTGTCATTTTAAGTAGTTTTGCAAAAGTAAAACTAGAAAGACCTGTGCAAGCCAAACATTTAAGAAAGGGTTGGGAGAGAGGGGACAAAGTATTAATTTGTGTGAGAATGAATTAGCTTCTCTAGACAGCAGGTGGCCGCGGAGCCAGGTCTGATGAGTGTGTGACCAGGCGCGTGTGCACAAGGGGTGGAGGGGTCTGAGTGAGGGGCACAGACAGGAGCCAGAGCCAGTGGGGGCAGCCCACGACATTTATTGAACTCCGACATGGTGCAGAGGTGCTTCCTGGCCAGTTTGAATCCTCCAGCCACCCTGGAAGCTGCCCAAGGCCCATGTGTGGCCTCCCCACACATAACATCTCTGTGAACTCAGAGCCTAGCACCTCCTTCATCCCACTTCTCAGGTCAGGTTCCGGCACCTGCTTTTCCTTCCCTCAGGACAAGGGAAAGGGTACAGCATGAGACCTGCACAAGACCTGCATGGACATGTGGACCAAGACAAGCAAGGGTATGAGGGGAAACAAAGTCAGCAGGTGGGGCCAGGTGAGAGAGGGGCAGCCACAGGTCTAGATGAATGAGGAGAGGACAGCTAATAAGAAATGCTGTCAAAATGTTAAATCAACTCTTAAAACAGTTACACTGACACTAAGGAGCAATATTTCTAAAATGTCACAGATGGGAATGCCCCCCAAGCACTGAACACTGAACATAATAAGCGCTGCATGCGGACGAGTGAGAAGACTGGAGCAGAAGTTACTGAATGCACAGAGTCAGGGACAGGCCTGGAGCTCACAGACAGCTATAGATATAGACTTGCTTTGTTGGCATGTGTACCGCTATAGACCATTTTGTTAGTAAAGAAAACCTCTATTTGTATTTGTGACACAGGGTGGGCTGTCTGTACAGAGCGTGCGAGCCAGGTGGACGCCAGGGTTCATGGTGTGGAAGATGCTGGGCAGGATTAGAGTGCGCCCATCCCAGTGACCTCAGACGTCAGCCTAGAAGAGAGAGAGGCACAGGGAGACAGGTTACAGCATTCTCACAAAATGAGGTCAGACAGGAAATGTATTGCCCTGTGGCATCCTCACAGCCTTGGCATCTATTTCCCTCCTTGTTGGGACAGACAGTCTCAGGTCGCTGCTCAGTGGCCTTGAGCTGGAGACCAAAGCCCAGCAGAGGGAGAAGGACCCACCAGGGGCCCCTGTGCTTGTCATCACGTCAGGGGCATGATGAGAACCACCTGGACAATCTTAGGCCGCCACAACCATTTCCACAGCAACTACTCAGTGAGGGGCACTGGAGTCACACTGCCCACAGGGGCTGCCTCCCTGTCCCCCTGCACATCCCTTGAGCCCTTTCAACATTGTGGAGTAGGGAAGAGGGTCTGGACCAAGGTGGAGAGGTCCTATCTCCCTGGGTGTGGTCACACTGTGTTCTCCAATGTGCCCTAGGTAGGGAGGCCAGGTGAGTGGCCCAGGCGTGGCCAGGAGAGTTGTCACTGCTCTGGGCCTCCTCACCATGTGCCCTGGCCAGGTCGCAGGATCTCACCTCCTACCGCGTGTAACCTTGAACCCTCTCAGAGTTCCCTTATGCACTTCTCTGCAAGTGTCTGGGTTAGGAGGTCTTTACAATCACATGACATGTGAGAGCAGAATGATTTAGTAGTAACATTTCTCTGAAACTACACACCCTTTATGCTGAATTTCAAATAACCTGGGTGTGTGGCTGACCTCAGGCCCTGGGTGGCATAGTCACTGCCTTCCTGAAAATACTCTCGCCTCTAACCACCTAGCCCCTCACTGAAGATCCTTCAGGGTGAAAGGCCAAGTGAGAAAGGCCTCGTGTGTATGTGGAGACTCCAGCATCTTCCATACCTAGGCCCAGGCAGGGAAGAGAAGCCCTGAAGGAGGCACATTCCATACCCAGGACTAGCCAGTCTCTGAGTGTCCTAGCCACTGAGCAGCACTCACCTGGCATTGATGAGGTACTGGGCAAGGCTGATGTTGGCTGGGGTCCCTGTGATGGTGATCTGGCGCTCTGATGACCCTTCTGTGGCATTGGCAATTTTGATCTGAGCTCCAGACATCTGTCGAATTTCATTGATTTTGGTCCCTTGGCGTCCAATTATACAGCCTATTAGCTAGAAAAAAGGACGGAGGAATTTCTTAGAGAAGAGCCCATGGCAGCCCTGAGCAGAGTGTGCAGAGCCCTGGGGGAAGCTTGTGAGGATGGCCCAGCCTTGATCTCCACCCCACACCACAAGCTCCTTGCTTCCAGGAGGAAGAGGCACTGTCTTCCTGTGGGAGGGATGGGAGCTGTGGGCACCAGGGTTCTGCTTGGTGCCCTATTTGTGAGCCATCCTGACAAATCAGGAGAACAGAGAGTCATGTGGTTGCCACTTGCCCAATGTCCTTTGGGAGCCCAGAGGTCCAGTGCCAGCACCAAGGCTAAGGCCATGCTGGTACCTTCTGGGCTGGGTTCTCAGGGTAGTGGGATGTTTGTTTGAAGCTGGAGTAAAGCTCGCTGCTGCCTGAAACCTCTTTTGATAAACTTGGGTGAAATTCTGAGGACATGTCAAGTGTTCCCTTTCCTTTCCATCCGGTAATCTCTATATAAGGATGGATGCAGTGGCCTCTGAAGGAGTAGACAGTACTTGGGAATGAAACAGCCAGAGGGACAAGAGCCAGGGCCTTCTCAGGACCCAGGACAGCCACACGTGGGGCCAGATTGCAGCCTGAGGTCCCTGCTGTGCATGGCAGTTCAAGTCCATGGACAGAACTGAGTCCCTTCATTCACATAGGGGCCGCCGATGAGAGCTCTGAGCATGAGCAGAGAAAGAAGAGACCAGACAAGTGGGGCCTAGGCAGTTGGTTTCCTATCCACCTCTCATGTAGCAGCCTGGACAGTGGTGTCAGCACTTCCTGTTCTTGTGTCAGCAGCAGCAGGTGCAGGGCTGGAGGAAATCCATTTCCAAATGAGTGAAGTGACTCTGAACCTGCGAGATGACAACAGCTCACTGGGGACACAGGTGCACCTCAAGTAGCTCTTGTCCCTGACGTGACTTCCAGCATCTCAGTTCTGCTCATCTGCAAGGCCATCTCTGTTCCTCTCCTAGGTTAGACCAGCTGCCTCACTAGACCTTAACACAGTCTCTCCAACTGTCCAGACAAACTTCCCCAAGCTGTTCAGCTTCCTCCACCTCCTGCCGAAGTTCCCCCAACTCCACTCACATCTCTCCAGGCTCTGCCCACACACTCCTGGGCCCACCTACCGCCCAGGCTCTGCCCACATCTCACCAGCTGCACACCTTACTCCTTTGTGCATGGCCCTGAGGTCAGGGAGAGTGACTTCCACAGATACCAGCCTGAAATCCTTGACTCGCTCTTCCCTGGCACCCTCCCGCTGGCAGAGAAATCTTGAGGGCTCCTTTCTGACCAGGGCCAGTCAAGGCAGCTGACTGGCAAGCCCTCCGGGGCAGGTGTGGGGGCAGCAGCACTGGAGGAAGAATGTGGGGCCAGCTGAGTTCCCCGAATATGCTGATGCCGGCACGGCACTCAGGAGGGCCCGCCTGAGCTTCCCGCCCTGACTTGGTATGTCCTCCCGCTGTCCTCACACCTTCCTCGGCCAATAGAAACGGAATGTGTGGAAGTCCACTTCCTTTGCACTTCAGTGTGAGTGGCCCTGCCCAGACCTGCCCGGCCTGCCTGTTTCTGCTCCAGCAAAAGCCATCTGAGGTAGATTTCCTCTGTGTGCCCTCCCTACATTCTCTTAAACATGTTTGTCTTCCCGTTTTTCTTACTGGAAACATCCACACCCACACCTCTCTTCTTCCCTGCCCTCAGGGAATCTCCCCTCCCTGAGACTTCACACCCCCTGAGCTGCTCCCCATCCCTGACATGGAATATCTCTCTTCCAGATAAAACCATGCAGTCTGAGTGCCAATGAGAAACCACAGCTGTCAGCGCAGCCCCCAACACTGACGCCGGCTAAGCATAAGGCTCCTTTAAGTAGCTACAGGGGGATGTGACAAGAGCGCTAATCTGGACAGGAGCGCAAGGCCCACATCTGCTCTGCCCTGGACTGCCCTTCACATGGCCTCTCTGGCTCTCCAGGCCCCCTGGACATTCAGTCCAGAGACCAGCTCTCGTCTAAGTCTTTCATGCCTCCATTGGACATTTAAAGAAAGATTACAGAGGTACTCTCAAATAATGCAGCCCCCTCCTAACCAGATTTCCAAGTCAAACCCCACAGGAACCACGGGAGCACATCTACCCTTGCACAGTTCTTGCAGCTGCCTGTGTGAGCCCTTAGGTTCCCTGTCTCAGCAGAAGGGGCCCAAGCATGGGGTCCCCACAGGCACAGTGACAAGAGCAAGGCAAGCTGTGCAATAGGCAGTGAGGGCACAGCGGTGATCATCAGAGATGGAGTCCAAGGCTGCCAGCTACTGGGGGCAGCTCCTTGCAGGGCTCTTGGCCCTGACCAGCCTGGGGCCCCACGGCCACAAGGGCAGGCTGGCCATGTTGTGGACCCTGTGCATCATTTAGGTCATCACATTTATTGCACTGTCCAGAGTTCCTTTTTGCAGGTAAGTCATGGTGACATGTAGGTGTCGGTACAATTTTCCTTTGTCTGATCTAATTTTGACCAAGAGACGGAGATTGACAAGATGATAGGCAAGTGTCCCAACAGATATACATTCTACTTGCTCTTTTCTCTCCAGGGTGGCAGGAGGCCATGGGGCCACACATCCCCTGCATGAGATCCTTTGCCAGGAAGGGTCAAGGAGTAGGTTCTGCAGGGCACACAGGGCCCAGAAAGCACCCTCCTTCTAAGGAGCTTCCCCAGCAGGAGGATGGCAGCCATGCACTGGGAGGGGACCCAGGAAACAGGCACGTCAGCTTTCCAAACAAGTGTATCTCCTTGCTTGTTAGATTCATTTCAGTTTTAAAATAAAGGCTCAAATCAGATCAGGATATCTGGTGTTGGTGAAAAGGTGGTTTAAGGAAAGGCTACAAAGGGGGGAGCCCACAGCAGAGTGGCGACTTGCACGTATCATGTGGGTGAAAAGACTTGGCAGCCTGCCCAGAGTTGCTGCTCGAGGACCAGCCACAGTGGGAGGACATGTCTGGAGTCCTTGAAAGCAGAAACTGGCTCTGCATGAGAACACAGAGCCCCATCACTCTGTGCAGAAGTTTGGCCTGCAGCTGCACAGGGTCCCTGACGAGAGCGGTCTCTTCTGGAGGGCCCTCCCGTCCACCTGCCCATCTCTTTCCTGTGGGTCATCTACTGAAGGGAAGAGACAGGATTTCCTGCCAGGCTGGTGGGAGGGGCAAAGCAGTGAAGGTTACTGAGGGCCATGGTCCTAGGGCAAGAAAGTCCAAGTCCCCCACATAGCAGCCTCTCCGTGTTGCTCAGGGCAGCTGCTCCTCCAGGATACATGCCCCATATCCGCCCTAGTATCCTAGGCTGGGGATCCAAGTCAATATTCTTATATGATTCAAGGATTCAGAGGATGATGTGGGAGGACTGAGTGTGACGGGAGCTTGAAAGGCCATCTCCTCAGAGTCCAGGCAGGTGGATGCCAGATCCAGGAATCCAGACAAACCTGTGACATCCCCATACCCTGCAGACTCACAGAGAACCCCAAACCCTCCAGAGTCCCAGGGAGCATGCGGCAGGGCCACTCCAGAGCATCCTTGGGCCACCATTCTTCAAGGGCCAACCCTGAAGCAGGGCAGTGCCTTTACATGGGGTCATTGGGGCCTCAGCTTCCCTGCCAGCTCTGGCATCTAAATTCTAAGTAAACTCTGAAGCGCCCTATTTGTTCTTTTCTTATCTAGTACCTTAGGGGCTTTTATGGACATTAAACTGCTTAACATGAGAAGGGATGGGCAGGTTATAAGGTGAGGTCCAGGGGGCTCGGGCATACTCACATCATTGGGAATGGTGAGCTCATGAGTGCTGGCCGGGGGGCTGGCATCCAGACCTGGGCACACCAAGGGTACACGGTTAGGCTGGCAGAAGGCTGCTCACATCACACCCCAGTGTCCAGTCCATGCTAGGCCCAGGCAGGGCCAGGGGCTGGCCCAAGGGCTAAGGTTAGTGCAGCTGGAGGTCAAGGGCTCTGTGAGCTCTTTGCTCAACTGCAATGCAATTCCTGAGTCCCAGCTTCTCTCAAAACAAGGAAAACAAAATCCAGCAGAATGATGTTTCACTTTTTCATTTTGGGCACATCATGTGGAGGGACAACTCTCGAAGTCCTTCACAGACATGCAGGAAACTCCATGCTAAGCAGCTCTTGGGGTATGGCCATGTCTTGGGAGCTGCATAGGGTACCAGGGCGAAAACCCTGCAACCTGGTCCCTATCTTCCATAGGTTCTCTGTCCACTCTGCTCCTCCCTTTCCCTGACTGAATAGCCCCACTGGTGTCAGCTGTCTCTCATTGCCCTCTGACCCTAAACTCCCCAAAGGCCGCTACACAGCCTGCTTCAAGGCCCAGTGGGCAGTTCTTCCAGCCTGTGTATCACTGATTCTAAAATAGACTGCTGGGCCACTGGAAGACTGCATGGGTGTCTATGTTGGAGATGAAGACACAGGCCTAATTTGTCACCAAGCCTCAATCTTTATCTTGACAAATTTCAGCTTAGGACCTGCCAAATCAAGACAGCTCTTCAGAGTTCAGGACAAGATCTACTCTTGTTTGACAACAAAACACATGGGGGGACTGTGGTAGGGGAACCGTGGGGACAAAGGCCCAAGGCAGACTGGCTCCCTGTAACCAGTCCTTCCATCTCCTTCTGAGGAGGCATTTCAAACCTAAAGTCCACAGCTGAGACCCTGTTATTCTCCCCACATGGTCCTGGCATATCAGGTCCTGTAGCTCAGCCTAGACCCTAAAGCCCCCTGGCTCCCCTGCTTCTCTCCATCCACAGCTAACTACACAGACCAGACTCATGTACCTTGAGAATATTCTGGAACCTGAGCCCTCTTCCCATCCCACATTGGTCACTTCCTCTGCTCATGCCTTTCAGTCTAATCTCCATATGGCCCAGAGAGGTCCCAACAAAACGAAGGTCAGATGCCTTCAAGACTCCAAACCCACCAAGGGTTCCAGCATCTTCCCTGTGCCTCCAGGATGCGCTCCATGCCCTCCAACCCTGGACCTGGGGCTGGCCTGTGCCCACTCTCACCTCCCACTTTCTCACAGCCCACACCCCTCTTCCTGCTTCTTCCCCTACGGCACTTGTGTCCCCAAAATCAGATGCACTTTGGCCATCTGTTTCGCTGCCATGAGTGACCCTGTGAGGGTGGGACTGTCCTGGGGGCCCGCTGAGCATGGGCACGCAGGTGGCAGGTGCTGCATGAACCAATTCATCCTGCATTGTCTGTTATTTTTCTTTTGCAGCTAAACCTAGAGTTTCTGTTGTTTGTCTTCTTTTAATAAGGGTATTTTCACTATGATTATTTGGTTGTTTAACCATCTATACACATTCCATACATCGTGGCATTTAAAATGCATTTAAGAGATTTCGTTAGTCCTGAGTCTTACACAGGAACTGCTAACAGCCTGGCTTGGGATGGACATAAAGGCATGAGTCATATTTGTTTAACTTGGTATATTTTGATCGAAGGGAGGAAGGTATCAGATTTGTTTACAAGAGGAAAGTAAAATTCAACTAATAATGTGAGAACACATCATTTAAAACTTGTATTCCTGTGTCAGGGCTCTGTGCCCAGGCATGAGTGTCCCCCTCCTGAAGTAGCATCCCCACTCTGGGACAGGAACAATGCTTCCCCAACATAGCACGAGCCTGCTTTGGAAAGAATGCTGACATCAGCCTGTCAAACAAGCCAATGCCTCTCACAACCACCTTGCTTAACCTGCTGTGATGGGGGACACGCATGTGAGTGCATGTGTGCAAGTACTTATGTGCATGACAGTGCCTGAACTTCAGGTCACCTGGGGCCTTGGAGAGGCCTTGTCACAGATAGGAGTGAGTAACCCCATCCCTGAGGCCTGAAGGCCATGGGGAGGGGCTGTGGGGGAAGGTGGGGGCTGAGTGTCCTGGGCAAGCCAGGCCCTAGGGGTTTCCAGGTCATCTCCAAGAGCCCTTCGCTGGGTAATTATAGGAAATCACGTTATAAACTGCTAAGGGCTGCATAGACACACATGTATCACCCAGATATTAACTTTGTAAGGGCTGATATTCACTTCCATAATCAAAATATTCTATAAATGCTTTAATTTTCACTCATTAAATTACTCATTAACTTAAATAAAGGCTACACCGAAATGGAACAAAGGCTACACCGAGATGGAACCCATTGCCAGTGCATAGGGCATCAGGGCCAGTGTCTCAGCCTCAAGACACCCGTGAGCCCCAATGGGCACAGCTGGGCCTAGATGCAGACTGTGGGAAAGTTTTGGGGATTCTTCCAGCCTCAGCTGCACCCTGGGGCCAGAACACACCACTGGGGTGGCAGCCAACTCTGCTGGAAATGCTCTTCCCCTCAGTCTTCCCTTTAGAGCTAGACTCTCGTTCTTCTGCTCTGACCCAGGACTTCAAGGGGATGGGAGAGCGGGCAGCGCCCCCTCATCATAGGAAACCCACTATGCCAGGCCACAGTCTTCCACTGGCCGCACTGCTCCTTGCACTGGGTAATGGGATGTATAATCTCTGCCTTGCCCTGCAGTGTCCCAGCACAGTTTTAATTAGAATCAGAAGGGGTGCCCAGAGTGCTCTTATCCATGAGAGTGTGCTCCTGCCTCCTAGGAAATACCTTTGGGGAAGGCACATATCACGGTAAAGTCTGCACTGCAGGTCCCCACTAGGAGGAGAAATGACAACAGAGATGGTGACTCTGCCATGTTCAGGGACTTTGGATGACAGGCAGCGATGCTCTGAGCACCGCTGGAGCCCATGACCCACCACAACACTCCCAGCAGTGACCCAGAAAAGGCTGGGAACTGCGGGTGTGACTCTGGTATGGGCTCTGATTCCATGGCACGGGCCTCCCTTTGCCGAGGCGCTGGCTCCCCCCTCCTCCCCGGGTCGTGCCCAGGCCTCCACTGGCCACTAGAGCGCTTTGTTTTACCTGACGACGGGCCCATCAGATTTTGAGCTTCTTCGGAGGAGTGTAAAGGCAGCTTTTCTCCTGGAGAGCAAAGAAGAAACAGATTTTAATGTTTTGCCCTCAAGGAGATAAGCAAGGTCACTTCAACTAGGAAAGCTCAAAATCTGACTGGTGCGTGGCAGACCAGCATGTTTGGTGGGCTCTCACCAGCCACAGCTGCCAAGCCAATGCTCTGTGTGTCATCGGAAGGAACCCATCCCTGCCCCTGTGCCCAGAGGGGAGCTGAGGACCACTGTGCCCTGGGCTGGGGACTGGCTTATCCCAGGGGCAGAGCAGTGCTGCCCTGGATGGGTGCCAGTCCTGGGACGTGCACTGGCCTGCAGAAGAGCATCCCTATATGCTTGTTTGAGCCCCCGCTCCCTGGAGAGAACAGGCTCCAGGGCTGGCTGGCTGGGTGCATCAGCAGAAAGAGCCCCCCCGCAATGCCTGTGGGCAGTGCAGAATAGGCCTGGAGGGGGCAGATGGCCCTTCACAAAACGGCCAGCTGTGAGGTGACTAACCCACCTTGGGGGACACACAGGTCTCCTGCCTGGCCCTCAGCAACGTGCACACTGCAACGTGTTAACATCCTTGGCATTCACAACTAGAACTGTACCTGCTCTGTTGCTGCCCTGAATAAAGACAGTTCAGAAAGAGAAAGTGCCCAGGTGAGAAAAGAGGCGGTCAGAAAGGGCAGCTGGGTACGTACCGGGGAAAGCGGGGTTGGTCTGTCCGAGGGGAGGAAAGGGGGTTTGCTGCATGGCCAACTGGTGGAGCTTGGTCAACTGCTGGGGGTAGGAGGGACATGAGAGCTAAGAAGGTTATTGTCATCGAGTACAAGTCACACCAAATTAAAAAAGGCAGTAACAGAACTCTACAAATAGATATAAAGAGAGGCCATGCGGACACATGGCAGACGCAGCAGAACTCAAGGACTTGGCCTGGGAAAACCAATGGACTGTTGTAGGCAGGCGCATTGAATCCTTTCCTTTCCTTGGCTCCCTGGCAGCTCTGGCCTGAACCAGCCAGACTATTCCAATCACATGGGCCTGGATGGAAGAGCGACCCCAGACCTATGCGGAGGCTACTGGGCCCCTGGGTTTCACAGGGAAGGTCTGAGAGCCACCAAACAGGACCAGCTGGGCCTCTTAAAGCTTTGCAGTCATGCTGTCACTCAGAGCTCACATGCATCTGTAGGGAACCCATGTGACACTCCCTTCTGCAAACCTGCCCTGCCCCAGCCCTGCAGTAGGCTAGCCATGATTCATGCCTATAGCCAACCCTGCCTCATACTCCACCTCCTGACTCTAAGATTATAGGATGTAGTGCTGGAAGGTTCTGTGGACGTGTGGGTGAGAGTACCCAGAGGCCTCCCTGCACCTGTACCCACTGTGTCTGAGCAGGCGGCTACCTGTCCCCCACTCTCAGCCACTAGAATTTGGGGGGAGGGGCTTTGAAATGCAGTTTCTTTAGTTTTTATCTGAGCCTCATTTTTTAAATGAAAAGTAAACATAAAAAAAGATAAAGGTAAACGTGATGAGACTTGGCCACACCTGAGAGCCAAAGGTGGTGGCGGCATCCTCCCCCACTTTGGAGATGTTGGGGTTGGACACTCTCAAGCCTGACTGGGACATAGAGCCCAGGCCTGCAGCTGCCTTGGAGGGTGGGCCAACACATTCTGGGAAATGTCCTCAACCCCCAGCCTTTTCCCAGCAGGAAGATCAGCCCGAATGCTCCAAGTGCAGCTTCCAGAGCTGACCCTGGCCTCATCACAAGGCAAAAACAGAAGCCTCTGAAAGTCTCTCAGAGGCCAGTAGGTGGGGGCCCGCAGGGAGCAGAGCTGGTGTTCCCAGGTGACATGAAGATCTGACCTGGTGCCCACATTTGTCCCATCTTGTAGGATATGGACTCCTGCAGCTCCACAAAAATGTCTCAGGAAGGCAGTGACTGTGCACTTGGGTTTCTGACATCCCAGCACCTACACAGATCAGACCTTGGGGCCATGGATGAGTGGGTTTTCTGCTGGCCTCCTAGAGCCGGGGATGCTCTCCTAACAGTTTAGCTAGCACTAAGATAAATGCCAAGTGCCCCTTCCCAGTGCATGGAGAATCACCGCTGTCCCCAGACAGTGTCTACCCCAGAGCCTCCTGTCCCATCCTTGTCCTTGAGCCCTATGGGGCAGCCTGTGGGGACAGGGTGGGCTGGGCTGTCAACCTGGCCACCTACTGCTTCCAAAGGTCAGTGTCCTGGTGGGAGGAGGCACGTGGTCCTCAGCTACGGCCTGAAGCCGGGCCACAACTAGCATGTGGCCTCCTGGTCACACCTCTGAGGGCGAACCTTGGCAGTGTGAGCCATTGGGGTACAGGTGGTCCGTGTTCCTAGGCTGCTCCTGCAGCATTACCATTATGGAGCTGTCCAATTTCCTCCCTCCCTCCTGGACATCCTAAGTGCATTTGGAAAGCAGCCTTGTACCCCTCTCAGGTGTCTCCCTGTCTTGTAGGGTGCTCCCTGACCTGCAGCACTTGGGTGGGCCTGCTCAGGGACAACTGGCCACATTCCAGACCCCATGAGGCCACCCCAAGCACAGTTATTGGTCCTGAGAAGAGATGATTAGGGGACCTGGTGACCTGGGGTCAGGTTCAGTTCTAAGAGTTCACCATCAATGGAGTGGTGCTGGTCAAGGCCAAGCAGGGGCTGGGTCGGATGGTTACCTGCTACTTTGCACATATGCCCCATGATCTGACCTCACTACGCACAGAGTGACTGAATGGATAGGCATCAAAGCCCCGAAGAAAGGTGCAGGAGAGCATGCCTGCGGGACACTATCACAGGACAAGCGATGAGACTTGGCTGCACCCCCTGTGCCTCAGGCAAGATGCTGAGAGGCCAAGGGACCCTGCAGGAAAGGGGCCTGAGAGCCTGCTGCACAGCTGGGCAGCCTAGCAAAGGCTCCTTTTTCCAGGGACAAGAAAGTACCTTGTAGGAAGACAGTAAGCACCCAAAGGCGTCCTGGGGTGTTAGGGCTAAGGAGTGCACAAGGCCACTCTCGGCCTCTCTCAGCCTCCTGGGGACTTAACTGCACCGGCGTGATCCCGCAAACCCCACTCCCACTTGATGGACCTGGGGCAGTGCAGCTGTGTCCTGTGTACAGCAAATCACACGGAGTCACAGGGACATTTGGCGGGGGCTGTGCTCTGAATCCACCCACACAAGAGAGTTCACACTAGGCCTAAGGTTTCCTCACAAGGAGGTAACTACAAGTTCCCAGGGTGCTAAGAAAACCCCATTTCTGGAGATAACAAATGTGAAGTTGGAGAGCGAAGGCCAGCTCAGTCTGGCTCAGGGCAGGCAGTCGTCAAGGACCGGGCATGCTGGCTCTGACCAGGACTGGGATTTCCATGCAGACACAGTGCACAGGGACAGCGGCGGCCTTGAGGGCTCCAGTCCTTCCCTTGTGGGAGGGGAGGAGGAGGCCAGCAAGGAGCCTAAAAAGCCCTGACAGACTGCTCTCTGCTCCTGTTCTCCTACTTTACCCCTGTCACCTGCTCATGTGCCTGATGGCCAGGCTGGCATGCTCCTATGAGGACAGGCCCTCTCCTATGTCCCTGCATCCCCAAGAGTGCATAGCTGTGCACTGGTCTGTCAGTGGGAAGAATGGGGCTCTGGAGGCAGGAGAACCTGCCTGAGTTGGCCACAACTCTGACAGCTCTGTGGAGACAAGCCCAGCTGGTGTCCATGGGCCACCCTTCCCATTTGTAAGGTGGGGGAACCCACACATGTAAATGGCAGGCTGTGAAGTGCTGTCCAGGTTAATTGGGGCAAAGAGTCATGGAAACTACCAGGCGTTTTCCCACTCACTGTCCACAGGCTTCTTGGGGGCCCCCAGGTCTCTCCATTGCCTCCCTGGCAGTTGGAGGCACATCAAGCAGGCTCTGCTCCAGAGCCACCGTGTGTGTTACAGGCACAGCTCCACTTGCATCCAGGACTCTGACATGCCGAGTTCAGCAATTCCCCCTATAATGTACTTGCTGCTTGTTATGAAGCAAGGGCCACACCAGCAAACAAATCCCCGTCCCCACTCACCCACGAGTGTAAAGTGACATCTTGAGAAAGTGCTGAACCAGCACCATGGAGCCTAGATAAACACTCCGGTGAGGGGCTGATGGACAGATGTCAGCTGGAATCTCTCCTCTAGGCTCTGCCCTTAGTCAAGCATTTCATCTCTTTGGGACTTATTTCTACATTTTTTTAAAGGAGGGGGCAGGACAAAGTGCTAAAGGGAATTCCCACTTTGAGAGATATTTCTGTCATAAAAAAAAATCAGACTTCCAGTTCCCACCAGTGCCTATAAATCATGAAGAGGGGAGGAGGAGGGGAGAATGAGGGGAGAGGAAGGGAGGGAACAGTGGAACTATCATATTACAGATCTTTCTCTGTGGCTTGATGTTTCCCCTAAACGCTGTGTCAGAAGACAAATACTAAATACAATTACTAAAATGTAAGTATCCATAAATAAACAACTCAATGACTTATCACAAAACACACCGTACAACTACCTCTCTTAGCAGGAAATGCACCACCTTGGCAGCTGGATATGTATTCACGTCTCCTTTCTGTAAAATGCTTGCTTGTGTCTTTTGCCCATTTTTCTATTGGGTTGATTTTGGTGATTCACAAGAACTCTGTATGTATTTCAAATACTAATCCTATTTTAGTTATATCTGCTAAAAAGATCTCTTCTCCACTCTCCTTATGGTGTTTAGAGAAACATAATTTTTAAAATTTAGTGTAGTTAAATTAATATTTTCTTTATAGCATGTTTATGTTTTAAGAAATCCTTCCCTGACCTGTATACAGAAAGGTATTCTACTATATTTTTTTCTAAAAGTGCTATGTTTGTCTCTTGTGTTGAAGTACTTCATACATAAGGAGTGGTTTTTAGTTTATGTTGTAAAAATCCATCCTGGCATCTGTCACAGACCAAGCTCCCTCACCCACATGGGTCAGATCCGGACTCTCTGGTCGGATCCACTTGCCTATGGTCTCTCCTTGCATCCAAACCCCACTGTCTCAGTTAGGACCACACTATTGTAGGTCTTCCTATCACTAGGACAAACCTTTCTATCATGCATCCTCTTCATGAATATACTGGTGATTCTTGGCCTTTGTGCTTTCATATAAATATTTAAAACAACCAGTCAGAATTTTGATTGCAATTGTACTGCATTTTTGTACCTCAACATAATTAAGATACTTAGTATGAACATGGTATGTCTCCATTTATTTTAGTCTTATTTAACTTTCCATAAAAACAAGTTTTTCTAAAGTCATCTTTTAATTATTGATTTCAACTTAAGTGCTTTGCGATCTATATGATTCCATTTTTTGAGAGATGGTGAGCCTTCTTTATGGTCTAGAACAGGGGTGGGCAAACTTTTTGACTCGAGGGCCACAATGGGTTCTTAAACTAGACTGGAGGGCCGGAACAAAAGCATGGATGGAGTGTTTATGTGAACTAATATAAATTCAAAGTAAACATCATTACATAAAAGGGTACAGTCTTTTTTTTTTTTTTTTTTTTTTTTTAGTTTTATTCATTTCAAACAGGCCGGATCCGGCCCGCGGGCCGTAGTTTGCCCACGGCTGGTCTAGAATGTGATCAAATTTTGTAAATGTTTTCATGAATTCTACAGCTATATTGGGTGCAGTGTTCAATATAGATCAATTATATCAATATTATATCAGTATTACTTACTGTACTGTTAATATCTTCTTTATTCTTGACTAT